AAAAAAAAAAAAAATGCATTTCAATGAGAGAAGTCATAGACACATCCGACTCCTTTTACGTCAGGGGTTAGCATTTCGTGGTCATGATGTGTCTTAAGGATTCAAAAAATCAAGACAATTTTTTTGAACTTCTACAATTTCTTGCTGAGTACAATAAAACCATCAACAATGTAGGATTTATTTTTCTATCCAATGTAGGATTTATATACATGTAATATCCAACAATCTCTCCCTTATATGTAATCCACATCGAACTTAGCTCCCTTTGAGTCTGATCCACAACTTTCCAAAAGCATTGCATGTAAGGCCTGAGATTTGCTCTTCTTGGAGTTGCGTTTATATGACTTTAATACCAAGAGCTCACAATTTTTCTTAAGAGTCACCATTAATATCGGTACGCTACACCGCTTCTTCAAGAATTTACCTAATATACATGTCTAGAACACTTACTTATCTAAAAGTTTAAGCCTATAGGTGGTGAACCCATCAGTATATATTAGAAAAAATTTAACTTATTTTTTTATCCAATGTAAGATGTCATAAAAAATAAGGTTTTACGATTAAAAATCTCACTACACTCTTAGTCATATAAAAAGATGTCAATGTGGTATAACACTAAATGTTTGTTGCCTTGCTAGACAATTTTTTTAACTTTATTTCTCATATTTTCTTATTTTTCATACAACTATTTACATATTAATCAATTTTACGTGCTTTACAGGAGAATTTTGTATTCAATTTTAGTAAAATAGAACACATTGATATCCTGTTGAATAATTAAATGTGTGAAATGAAAATTTTAATCTTTTAAGATGTGAGTTGAGAATTCGATTATCTTTCAAGTTGTATGACGGCATTCCTCCATTTTTATGTCTAAACGGTCTGATCTGATTTATCAACAAACCTAAAATATTTATTTCTATAAACTTCTTTAACACTAAAATTTTGTTTTCCACCCCCATAACCAATGAGATCACTTATCGTCTTCTTTCTGACTATTTTAGTGTTTCAAACTTCAAGTCAGAATAACAAAACAAAAAGATATAATAAAAATTCTAATTAGCGATTAGTGCCACACTGCCACTCAGCAGCTGACCTCTGGAAAAAGTTGGCAAGTATCTGGCAACGACTACAGTTGCATCATGCATGAGGTCACCACTGGGAAGTATCACCCTTGTTTTCTATTTTTTTTTGTTTAATTATGGGTAATATGCCTTAAATGCGTTTTGTCTCACTTTAGCATGAAGTGATAAAAAAAATGCGTTTCCACTTGCATTTGATGCAAACAATACGAATCTATTACGATCCTTAATTCTCTTGTACAGCTGACTTAAAACATCATTCTCTGTACCAAATGTTGCGTATGAGGCATTGATAAAGCTGGTGTACTTCTTACACCCCCGAAACTATCAATTTTGAGGCGAAGTATTTATGAAAACAATGTCGTCGTGAATAGTTATTTTTGATATACTTTATTGAAGAATTTAATTTTTTTATTTTACGTAACGGAATTCAATACATAGTTCCTGTCATTGAAGTTCAAGTTCGAGAACAAGAAATTCAAATTCCAAATTCTCTATAGGAAGAATACTCAATGAATCCAATGATCCCAACAAGCACGAATCTGTATTACAGTCTTGATCTCAATGTTCAAGAAGAACACTCGAGAACAACTTCACAAATATGCAATATATGGAGGTACATGAAATAAGAGTTTTCTACCTACGTATATGATATCTGAATACTCACATGACTTGATGAAAAATTACAGGCATGAAAATATATATAGGACAGAAACCCTTATCTAATAGAGAAACTGGAAGTAACATCATTCCATCAAACAGTTACAACTGCTTTGAACTGCTCTATGATGATCACTCTATCTAATGATGGGAGTAGTGGATAATTACTTTAACGTCAGTTACTCAGAAGAATTTGACTCAGTAAATAAGATATATATTAAATATATATATTATTTATTTATTAAAAGGTGATATGGCATGTGAGTCATCTTAAGTCTCTAATTAGAGATAGAGTCCAACATTTTTTTTCTTCAAAGCCACCCAGTGTAGGTGGGGGTTTGGCAGGACCTCTACCTGTATATAAAACTAAAAAGAAAAAGGTACAAGGGAGGAGGACATAAAATCAAGCCTTCAGAAGCGGAAGAAAGTCAAAGCAAAAGGAAGGTGGTGACTTAAATAGAAAAGCAAAGTGGGGAATCCCCACATAACAAAATAACTACAAACCTCAATGCAAATAAAAACTCAACACCGAACGTGAGGAGTCTGTTGAGCGTCCAAGGCGAGGATGTCTGCAATCCTAGAAGGAAGGGTTGACAAATCAGAGAATCACTGATTAAGCTGCTAAGAGCAAGCCCATTTAACCAAGAAGTCTACAGCTTGTTTCGCCTCTCGCAGGACATGGTAGACGCGAGTCGAGATAGAAGCATATAGAAGTCTAATCCGAGAAAGCAGGTAAGCATAAACTCAGCACTCAGTACCCTGAGAAGAAACCCAAGAAACCACTGTAGCTGAATTTGACTCCACTACCAATTCTGAAGCTCCCAAATCTGCGGCCAACTTCAACCCAGTACAAACAGCCTGCAACTCTGCATACAAAATTGGCTGATGACCCAGAAACAAGTCAAAAACCCTAAGTACCCGACCCTGGTGGTTTCGAATAACACCCCCTACCGCAGACAGCCCCGGATTTCCTTTAGGATAGCCATCAACACTGATCTTTAGGCAACCCGCTACATGACAACTCCTTTGGGATATCGTTGGCGTGTAAATAAAGCTGATTTTTAAAGAACTCACCAGGAATTGACTAGAGAAGATGAACAACAACCACCATAGAATAGCAGTGGCAGGAATCTAGGGTTTTTTGTTTCTCGTTGTTACTTGTTGGAAGTTGATCCAAACTATAGAGTCCAACATTAATTAGACATAAATTCCAACATTCTCTTACGTGGCACACTTACCTTTGTGAGTTGTAACTTATCGTTTAAAGTTATGTCGTTTAAAGTTATAGGAAAAATTTTAGCCACACCTCTTCTAGTTTATCATATCTTAAGGACATCCATTCTATTTTCTAAATCTTTACTAACACCTCCTGTAACCCTGTTAGATTAAAGTGTTAACTAGGATATAATTTTACTAAATTGTCCACAATATATTTTAGGAAAAATTTCATCCACACTCCCCCTAGATAGATATGTCTTCAATGAAACTCCATCTGTTTTCTAAAATTTTTTACATATAAAATTCGGAGAGATTAAAATTCGATTTGAACTAATTAAAATTCATTTTTTACGTATTAAAATTTGAGGAGATTAAAATTATATTTTTTACATATTAAACTTTGAACTGATTAATATATTATTTGAGTCGAATCAAATTTTAATCTGTCATAATTTTGATGCATAAAAATATAAATTTTAATACTTAAAAATTGAATTTTAATCAATTTAAATCAAAGTTTAATTGGCACAAACTTTAATAAGTAAAAAATATAAATTTTAATAGGCTTGAAGCGAATTTTAATCAACGCCTTCAGTTCAGGTAGAACTCAAATCGGATCAAATTTTAATGTGTAAAAATAAATTAATAGGCTCGAATTTTAATACGTACAAAAAATAAAATTTAATCAGTTCGAATCAAATTTTAATCGGCTCAAATTTAAATATGTAAAAAATAAATTTTAATCAGCTTAAATTTTAATATGTAGAAAAATAAATTTTAAACGACTCGAATTTTATGTAGAAAGTTTGTTTGGAGTTTCTGTAAAGGCAATTTTGATATTTTAGATGAATTTTATTTTGTTAGAAATGTTATTTTAACTGCATGGAGTGTCGGTGATATTTAAATATAAACTAGATAGGGCATGAGTAATATTTCGAGTAATAGAATGGTTGTTCTTGAAAATATGATAAATTAGAAAAAGTGTGAATCATGTTATTTTCAAATTATAATTTACACCTCAAAGCATTTTAACATTAACTTTATCTTTTAAAATTATAATTTTCAAAACAATACCCATAGCGATACCACAATCTGCCCCTTTTCTTTTTCTTAAATAAACTGATGAAGTACGCTTTACAGACAGACCCTTCTCCTCTCTGAGTCTCTTTCTCTCTTCTGAAGGGAAAAAACCCTAAAAAGAGCCAGTTACCCACAAGTAAGCTCTCTCTCTGCTCCGATACCTCACCGTACTCTTCACAAGCTGGGTCTAACGAACCTACAAAAATGTAAACCCCTAAGGCTGTCGACGCCCCTAGCTGCCCTAATCCCCTTTTCTACTCCTTTCATCCTCTTCATCACTGCACACCATATCATCCTCTCTTTACCATAGCCAATGTCACTTTCTCTGTTTTCTCTGCCTCTCTTTTCCCCAAAAGTCATTCTCTCCTATTTGCCCTAACCCAAATTACACCATTATTTCCCATCTTTGACCCTTTTCTTAGCATTTATTGCATCCCCATCCTATAATCTATGGAAACCAACAGGACTTTAAGGCCTTTACCAATCAATTATGGGTCAAAGGTCGGTGAATCACTAGTGAATAGCATTGATGGCAGGCCTGATGCATGCCTTGGTGGGAGTACTTCGGCAGAGGGTATAAATTCAGCTATGATTGTTGAGGATGTATCTACTAAAACACAAGCACGAGTTGTTAAGGTCCTCGCTGATTTGACTAGGTTCGATAGAGAAGAAGTTACTGAGTCAGTGACCGAGCAAAGCAGGTTGCAGGAACTGATTATTGAGAATGACCTTCTCAAGCATTTGTTTGAAGCCAAAATGGAATACCCAAGTTGAAATAAGTCTCAAATTAGGTTTAGTGGCAGTAGTGATGGCAAAGGTAGTTCCGGTGCCGCTGGAAATGGAGGCAATGGACAAGCCAGGCCCAGATGGAGAGAGAAATTAGTTGCAAGGGATGTGCCGAGGGTGAATTCACAAGGAGCAGGTATGCAGTCTTTAACCTCTTCTGATCATTTGGGCAATCCCAAGCCTAATACTGGGGGTGGGTCAAATGGTCTGAACAAGAATAGATCTTGGGTTAATATGGTTCAAAATGATCCGAGATCCCTAGTAGAACTGTAGTACATGGCCCGTAGTAAACAAATGGGAAAAGTTATGGTTAGACCTCCCAAAGAGGTAGCCCAGGAAGGATATTCCAAATGGGAAGCTTGTATTGGCAAGAAATTGCCTTTCCAAGTTGTGAAAGCATCAGCTATGAGGATGTGGGGAAACAAAGGGTTATTTGATGTTATTGCCAATGAGAATGGATTCTTCTTCTTTAAGTTCTCAAGTACAGGTAATAGAAACGAGGTCTTGGAATGGGGTCTTTGGCATATTGGTGGCCAGCCTATTATATTAAGGAAGTGGCAGCAAAGACTCAAGCTTACAAAGGAGGTTGTGAGGAAGATCCCATTTTGGGTAAAATTTTATAATATACCCACTGATATTGGACTGCCACTGGGTTTAGTTACATAGCTAGTGCAGTTGGGAAACCTTTGTATATGGATAAGTTGACAGAGGAGGGTAGTAGAGCTACTTTTGCTAGGATTTGTGTAGAGGTTGATGCAAGTGAGCCTTTACTAGATGCCTTTGATCAAATGATGGAAGGTGACAGTGAAGATGATAGTGAGAAAATTGAAATTAAGGTAGTTTACCAGTGGAAACCAATTCGATGTGATCAATGCAAAGTCTTTGGGCATAGCTGCCATATAATAGCTACTCCTATAAGAAGCAACAAAGTATTGCGAAGGAAAACGCTTATGCTAATTCTAAAGCGTTTGACCAAGTTGAGGTTAGGGACTGTGTTCAGGGTGAACTAGTCAGAAATGAGGATGCTGGATACAAAGGGGTACAAAGTCCGGCACAAAATCATCATCTTAGTTTAGATGGACAAAGTGAACAGTGGCAAATAGTGAAGAGCAAAGGGAAGGAGAAAGTGATAGAAGAGCAACCTTTAAGACCGGAGGTAAGCTTGTCATCTGAAATAGAGTGCTCAGTGAAGAGAGCTGTAGTACCTTCCAACAAGTTCCAGGCTCTGGATTTAGTACCAGCTACAGAGATGGAGGAGACAGAAGAGGGCGCTAGTGATTTTGAGTCTCCTGAACCGGGATCCATGATGGACAAAATCAAGGCCATTGACGAGGTGGAAAAGTTACTTTCTACATCAACTAGAAAGAAACAGAGGAAAACCAGAGGAAAGAGTAAACAATCTTTGAACTCAAGATTGGTGGCTCCCTGCAATGGGTTGAGATCGTCACTGTCACATAAAATTTCTAATGACTAATTTCTATTGCTGGAATGTGAGGGGGTTGAATGGTCCTGTGAAGCAAGCGGAAGTATGGTAACAAGTGACNTCTTCTTCTTTAAGTTCTCAAGTACAGGTAATAGAAACGAGGTCTTGGAATGGGGTCCTTGGCATATTGGTGGCCAGCCTATTATATTAAGGAAGTGGCAGCAAAGACTCAAGCTTACAAAGGAGGCTGTGAGGAAGATCCCAATTTGGGTAAAATTTTATAATATACCCACTGATATTGGACTGCCACTGGGTTTAGTTACATAGCTAGTGCAGTTGGGAAACCTTTGTATATGGATAAGTTGACAGAGGAGGGTAGTAGAGCTGCTTTTGCTAGGATTTGTGTAGAGGTTGATGCAAGTGAGCCTTTACTAGATGCCTTTGATCAAGNTGATATTGGACTGCCACTGGGTTTAGTTACATAGCTAGTGCAGTTGGGAAACCTTTGTATATGGATAAGTTGACAGAGGAGGGTAGTAGAGCTACTTTTGCTAGGATTTGTGTAGAGGTTGATGCAAGTGAGCCTTTACTAGATGCCTTTGATCAAATGATGGAAGGTGACAGTGAAGATGATAGTGAGAAAATTGAAATTAAGGTAGTTTACCAGTGGAAACCAATTCGATGTGATCAATGCAAAGTCTTTGGGCATAGCTGCCATATAATAGCTACTCCTATAAGAAGCAACAAAGTATTGCGAAGGAAAACGCTTATGCTAATTCTAAAGCGTTTGACCAAGTTGAGGTTAGGGACTGTGTTCAGGGTGAACTAGTCAGAAATGAGGATGCTGGATACAAAGGGGTACAAAGTCCGGCACAAAATCATCATCTTAGTTTAGATGGACAAAGTGAACAGTGGCAAATAGTGAAGAGCAAAGGGAAGGAGAAAGTGATAGAAGAGCAACCTTTAAGACCGGAGGTAAGCTTGTCATCTGAAATAGAGTGCTCAGTGAAGAGAGCTGTAGTACCTTCCAACAAGTTCCAGGCTCTGGATTTAGTACCAGCTACAGAGATGGAGGAGACAGAAGAGGGCGCTAGTGATTTTGAGTCTCCTGAACCGGGATCCATGATGGACAAAATCAAGGCCATTGACGAGGTGGAAAAGTTACTTTCTACATCAACTAGAAAGAAACAGAGGAAAACCAGAGGAAAGAGTAAACAATCTTTGAACTCAAGATTGGTGGCTCCCTGCAATGGGTTGAGATCGTCACTGTCACATAAAATTTCTAATGACTAATTTCTATTGCTGGAATGTGAGGGGGTTGAATGGTCCTGTGAAGCAAGCGGAAGTATGGTAACAAGTGACCCAATATGGTGTTGGTTTGTGCTGCCTTGTCTAAACCAAGGTTAGAAAGATTAATTGTGATGTTATTTTTAGACGAATGTTGCCGAATTGGAGACTCATTGATAATTATGATCACTCAACTAGAGGGAGAGTATGGGTATGTTGGGATCCCATTTTTTTTTATGTAAGATTGGACGGGCTTACTAACCAGGTTGTGCATTGCAATATTGTTAACCTGACTGACCAGAAGATTTTTTCTGCATCTTTTGTTTATGCCCAGAATGAGGAGGGACTTAGAAAGCAATTATGGTATAATCTTGAACAAAGGGCCGCGGCTGTACAGGAACAAGCATGGATTGTTTTGGGAGACTTTAATGTGCTCAAATCCAACTCTGAGAAGGTAAGAGAGGTTAGTGTGAGAGACAAAGGGAGTGAGGATTTTTGTGAATGCTTATTCAGGACTGATCTTGAAGACTTAAAATATTTGAGAAACCAATACACATGGTAATAGGAGATTTGATGGTGGTTTAATTGCTAAGAAGCTGGATAGAGTGTTGGTTAATGAGGTTTGGCGAAGAGCCTATCCAAATTCAAAAGCTGATTTTCTTACCCCAGGAATTTCCGACCATTCATTAGCATTGGTCAGAATGGGGTTAGAACTCCCGAAGGGTAGGAAGTCATTCAAATACTTTAATTTTTGGGCTAATAATCAGNCATTAGCATTGGTCAGAATGGGGTTAGAACTCCCGAAGGGTAGGAAGTCATTCAAATTCTTTAATTTTTGGGCTAATAATCAGGATTTCTTACCAACTGTCACTAGAGTTTGGGCCACTCAAATAAGAGGATCTCCTATGTTCAAAATCTATCGAAACCTGAAGCTTCTCAAGAAAGAATTAAAGGATTTGAATAAGAGGAATTACAGTGATATATCATCCAAAGTTATAGTTGCAAGGCAGGCCCTCCATGATATTCAAACAAAAGCTGATAAAAGTCCTTTGAACATGCACCTATGGGAGGAAGAAAGAAAGCAGTTGAGAAAGTATGTTGAACTCAGGGAAGCAGAGGAAAGTTTTTTTAGGCAGAAATCTAGAGTCCAGTGGCTAAACTTGGGGAATCAAAACACGAGTTTCTTCTTCAAGCATATTAATAAGCAAAGAATACAGAGGAGGATCACTACCATTCAGAAAGAAGATGGGACCAAGGTCACTGAGTATCGTGAAATTTAGGAGGAGGTTGTTAGCTATTACCACCAGCTGCTTGGTGGGTCTCTTCCTAGTTCTACAATACCTATGCAGTGGGTTAATCACTACATCAGAAGGAGAATCTCTTTAGATTTTACAGCTCATTTGTCCCTTGATGTCACCAGAGATGAAATCAAGCGTGCATTATTCTCAATGAAGGATGGGAAGGCCCCAGGTCCAGATGGCTATTCTACTGGATTCTTCAAGAAAACATGGCATATTGTGGGTGATGATGTGACTGATGCCATCATGTCGTTTTTTGTTTCTGGGAAGTTGTTGAGGGAAGTTAATTCTACAACTATTGCTTTGATTTCCAAGGTACTTAATCCATCTATGCTAAATGATTACCGGCCAATTTCATGTTGCAACATCATTTACAAATGTATTTCAAAAATTTTGGCCATCAGAATCAAAAGAGTGCTGCCTGAGCTAATTGACAAATCTCAAACTGCATTCATACAAGGTAGAAAAATGTTTGATAACATGCTACTTTCCCAAGAACTCTTAAGGAACTATCATTTGGATAGAGGGAGTCCTAGACGTATATTGAAAATTGACCTTATGAAGGCTTATTATAATATAAGGTGGGAGTTTATTCTAGAAGTGATGCAAGCCATGGGTTTTCCCCAACAGTTGATTAGATGGGTTTCAGACGTGGATTACTTCTCTTATGTACTCAGTGAGTCTTAACGGTGAGTTGAAAGGCTATTTTGAAGGAAAAAAAGGTTTAAGACAGGGAGATCCCTTGTCTCCTTATCTTTTTGTGCTTGCAACGGAGGTTTTTAATGGCATTATGTAGGAGGCAGCTAAGCTGGGTAAATTCAAGTATCATTGGAGATGTGGCAAGGAGCATATTTCTCACCTTTGCTTTGCTGACGATGTTATGATCTTCAGTAAAGGAAATCTTGATTCAATTAGGACTATCAAGGATGCCCTCCAGATTTTTGAAGAACTTTCTGGGCTTAAAGCTAACCCAAGCAAGTGTCATTTTTACTGCTCTGGCATTAATAATGTGGATAAAGTGGAGATCATGCAGTTAATGGGGTTTCCGAAAGGTGAATTGCCTATGAGATATCTGAGTATTCCTCTCATTATCACTAAATTGAGGGCTGGGGATTGTCAACTGTTGGTTGAGAAGATTACTACCATTGTAAGTTCCTGGTGCAACAAATCACTTTCATATGCTGACAGAGTACAACTGATCAGCTCAGTTCTTTTTCAATTCAAGGTTTTTGGTCTTCTTTATTTATATTGCCANCTGGTGCAAC